GGCGTGAAAAAAAAAGCAGCCGCTCTATGGAAACACGAATTTATTTTCCCCATGTAACTTCTCTCTCGTAAAAAAACAGTTCCACGGCTTAAATCAGATTGTCTAATATTATTATTCACAAGTTGTACGAAAAAAAAAGGTTGTGACGAGTCGTACCAATCGCCTGATTCAATCCAGACGGATCGTACAATGTATTCATGAGTCTTACGACTCGTAAGGATCGTCTAATGTATTCATGAGTCCTACATCCGTAAAAAAAACTTGGAGTCTCTCTGGCCATGACTTAGGCCCTGTTTACAAGCAAGGAGGGTAAAAAAAAACCTAGGGTTACCCTAGCAGGTGGTTCAAAGATAGCCCGGGTTTACAAGCAAAATAAAAAAAGTAGGGTTACTCTACCACCCGGGACAACTTACCTTCGTTTGGTAACCGCACGCAAAAAAAAAAGAGTCTGGAAACAGGTAAAAAGTTGTCCCGGGTAGGCGAGTTATCCCCAGGAGAGCGTTTACAAGGCAGGTAGGGTTACCCTGGCGCTAGGGTTACCCTAGCGCTCAGCTAAAGTCACCCTAGTGCTAGGGTAGCCCTAACTGCCTGTAGACAGGGCCTAAGTCTGTCGACTCGAAAAAAACGAATGGATACACACAAAGTGCACATATAACAAAAAGTATTCCTCGTGGTTAAAAAAAAAAGAAAAGGACACAAACAACAAGAGTATTCCTTGCTCTAAAAGCACCACGCGAAGTAAAAAAACATGAAGAACCCCGTACGACTAAAATAGCGCCACGCAAAAAGCAAATACAACAAAAAAAAACCTCGTTCTTAAGAAAATGCAGAAAATGCATATATAACCAAAAAACCAGCAACAAAAAAAATGTTTGTCCTACTAAAAAAGGACCACTCGAAGTGCACAAACAGCAAGTTTATTTAAAAAAATACTAAAACACACTGCGAGAAGTACACAAATGGCAAGTGCATTTTCATTCACTCAAAAAAAATTTGTAGTTCTAAAAGCTTTACGTGAAGTGCACAAACAACAAGAGTGTTCCTCAAAAAAAAAGCTCTTCGTGAAGTGCAAAGATGACAAGAGTAATCTTGATTGTTCTAAAAGTAAAAAAAGAAGGACACAAATGACAAGAGTGATATTTGCTGTACTGAAAGGTAAAACGCGAAAAAAAAAACAACAAAAGTATTCCTCGTTTTTGAAGCACTGCGTGAAGTGTACAAAGAACAAAAAAAAAACCTTTTTTCATAAAATAGTCCTGCGCGCAGTGCATAACAACAACTTATTTCTCAAAAAAAGCAAAAAGCACTTCGCGAAGGAAACCAAACGTTTTCACTAGGTATGTTGCTTTCAAAAAAATTTGGGCTGGAGGGTCGGCGAGGAAATAAATTATCCTTTTTTCACCTTCATTGGAAAAAAACATAAAGAATTTCATTATAAAAAAACGCCTATTATTTGTTATTATTTGCAACTTAAAAAAACAATCATAGAGTACTGATAAATTAATTAGATGAAATGTCGATTGAAAATGCAGTAAAAAAAAAGGAAAAGGACAGAAAGTTTTACTTTTATCAGATAACAACCAAAAGTATTGCGAAAAAAATTTCAATTAAATACACGTTTAAAAATCGAACAAAATCGAAGCAAGGTCGGAACAAAAAAAATACGCAACGTAAAAGAAGTTTGGGATCAAAGATATGGTAATGGTAGTGGTAATGAAAAAAAAGATATGAATTCGGCAGTAGAATGAAATACTTCATATTTACAAGAAATTACAAAAAAAAAATTACAAATTAAATGAGACTATATATGGACTATATAAATAAAAATTTTGCCGAGGAAAAAAATTACCGGCTCACAAGATTCTATTAACAAATTATTACAAATGTGATATAAGTATAAAAAAAAAATTCATTAAGCTTTGACGTCATTGCGGGAAAAAACGTATTTGAAATCGTTTTGAAAAAAATTTAAAAAGAGTCAAGTTATCGCTGGAGCGCAGCTGGCAGACGCGTGCGTCTAGAAAAAAATGTGGAATTAATGATGACAACTGTGAGTTTTTAATTTTCTTGAACTGTTCGAGGCAAAGACGTTCCCTATTCTCTTCCAGTGTGGGATAGTTCAAAACAATACATGCAGTTCTGTAAAAAAATAGTGGTTCGATTATCCTGAAAGCTCTTCTTTGTATCTGTTCTAAATTGTCCACAAAAAAAGATGGAAGGCTAGAATGCCATACCGGGCATGCGTACTCCAAAACAGAACGTATTAAAAAAATATAGACACTAAGTAAATCCTTGGGTGGAAGGCCATTGCGGCGCAGGACACGAAAAAAAAAAAGTCGCTGAGCAGCTTTCTTTGTAATGCTAAGAATGTGACTACGCCATTTTAGAAAAAAATGAATGAGCACTCCTAGGAGCTTGTGACTTTCTACTACTTCGATTGAGGTGTTAAAAAAAATCAACTGTGATAGAGTGGGTGGGTTACGTAGGAAGCATATTCTGAGTTCTTTGCAAAAAAATGGGTTCAATTTCATGTAACTTGAAGAACACCAGGTGTATATATCATCCAGGGTAAAAAAAATAGTTGATGAACCTTCTCGAGGTAGAACTTCAGCAATGGTTAGGTCATCAACGAAAAAAAAGAATGAACTGGTTGGAGTAAGCTCATTCACCATAACTAAAAATAGTATCGGACCCAATTTAGTCCCTTGTGGGACCCCAGCGTTTACATACGACTAGTCAGAGAAGGAATCAATAAAAAAAACTCGTTGTCTTCTATTGGATACAAAACTAAAAATCTAAGGTAATAAAGACCTAAAAAAAACTAAGTTAATAAGTTCGAACATTAGGATGTTGAGATTTATCCTATCGAAGGCTTAAAAAAAGTCCAGCATACAAATACGCAAAGTGTTACCAGGGGTATCGAGGCTAGAAACCCATTCGTGAAGCATGTCTATGAGACACAGGGTTGTAGATGTGCCTTTCAAGCAACCAAACTGGAAAAAAACAATTTTACTCTAGATATCTTCGAGGACCCAGCATGCGACAAATTTCTCTAATAAAAAAAAGAGGCATGGCGTGAGTGAGATAGGCCGGAAGTCACTGAGGGATCTCGGTACAGAAAAAAAAGGAGCAAGTGTTATGTTCGCAGCCTTCCAGATGTCTGGAACAATACCCGAAGCTAAACTTGAGTTCAACAGGTTTGCAACTGGGTCAGCAAACTCAAAAGCGAATTCGCTAAGGATACGTGCAGGCATGTTATCTGGCCCTGTAGCTTTAGATGGATTTAGCTTGAGCAGTTTTTGACACACTTGTGGTGGACTGATGAACGGTGCTCTCTCAGAGCATGGTAAGTAGGCTTAGAGTAAAAAAAGATCTAAAGCAGGAATGTCCTCATTTACAGAAAGGAAGAACTTGTTTACGTCATAAAAAAACTCATTAGGAGATTTAGTCACTCCATCGATAACAAAACTGTTACTAGAGGTAGCTGATGAACAGGATCTACCAGAGACTTGGTCAACGTAGTTCCACCATTTTCGAGAGTCTGTTGTTTTCAGGTTTTGGATTTTCTCCCACTAAAATTTTTTTCTTTCTTTGTGTAATAGATGTTCGCACCTTGTCACGGTAAATACGCCATAAATGGTGATCACCACTATGATAGGCAGCTTGACGCTCTAATATTAGGTGTTTAAGAGAAGCCGTAATCCACGGCTTGTCTGTGTGATGAAGTTTGACAGTTCACTCCGGGAAGAAACAGTCAGTAGCTTGAGAAATATTTGATGCGAATGTAGATGCTGTTATGACGTTAGAAGAATCAGTAAGCCAAACCTGGGAGGTTAAACATCTTCCAAAGGAAAAAAATCCTGAGCATGGGAAGCCACGTAGTCAAAGTGTTGCTTTGGGTGGATGATTAGTAGGATGGTGGTGGTTAGGATGCCAAACAAGGGCATTGTGATCAGAGGTGCCAATAGGAGCCAAAAAAATCGGTTTACTATAGTAAGAATGCATCTTTGTGATTATCAAGTCCAAAATTACAGAACCCCTTGTTGGTTGGTCAACTAATTGAGTTAAGTTGTGGTTGTTGAGTAGATCTGAAATAAAAAAATTATTAAAATCACCAAACAATGCTATCCCACAGTCAGGATTTTCACTACGAACAAAAAAAAATGTTTCGATTAAATAGTTTATGGCGTTACGTTGATCTTGGGCTTTTCTGTCCGAAAAAAAGTAAAATACGCCCATGATAATGCCAGTAATTGATCTGGGAGGTGGATGTGGTCTAAAAAAAAGCCAAAGACATTCAATATGTGGATTTTCCAAATCAGACCGGCGCTCGCAGGGGAAAAAAAACAATGCAAAGGCGCAGACGCCACCACCACGACCACAGGATTGATTATGGCAGTAAAAAAAATAACCAGGGATAGAGATCAGGGTACTTTGTATATTTCCATGAAGCCAAGATTCAAAAAAAGCAGCGATCGAGATGTTTCGTTGAGTCAACAGTAAGGCAAGTTCATCGCTTTATAAAAAAAGAGACCTTACATTTGCTTGCAAAAAGCTTGGTAGTTGAGATTTGGTGGTAAGTTAAAAAAAATTTGTAGGCTTAAAAAGATGAAGAGCTGGCTTTGAGAGACTATTTCTGGCTTGAAAAAAAAAGATATTACGTTGCGTAATTCTTGTAGGAATAGGCTTTTGTTTAGCAGTTAATAAAAAAAGATGATTGTTGCTTTCACTACTGTTCGAGTTGCCGCATCGGCAGGGCTGATTTTAAAAAAAGTTACTTGAATTGCGCATTTTTGGAAGATTTTTCTTTCTTGAGTAATTTGGCTTAAAAAAAATTTGAGTTATACGTGTTGGAATAAGTTGGATAGTTCGACCACGAACATTATGAAAAAAAAATGAACACAATATTTCGTTTTGACCAAGGCTTTCTGGCAAGGAGCTGGACAGGGAAAAAAAACTTGGGGTCGAAGACAAACCTATTTGTTTCAGTTGTGTTGGAGAGTATAAAGTAAAAAAACTCCTTGATATACTTTGTTGAGATGTATTAAACAAAGAAGGGCCCGGTTGAGGGTGGATGTCGCCACAGGATAGAAGAAGTGTGCAAAGACAGTCGTTATGTAGCGGTAAGGCCAAAAAAAATGCGCCATCTTTCGAAATTTTCACAATCGGAAATATCAGCTTTTCAAGATGGTGAAAAAAACTGGAACTTTTAGGGGACTTGAAGGGAGTGATAAAGTTATCATCTTTATGTCTTAAAAAAATAAAAGAGCCACGAAACAGCAGCAAAAGTTGAAAAACGAGGACACCACGATAAACGTGGCCGTCCGCCATTAGGTCCCAGTCCCAGCAGCTACAATTTTCGCCAAGAGAGTACTGAAAAAAAACCCGCCAGAATTACGCCTACCCCACGAGCTAAAACGAAAGCAGCCGACCCTCAAAAAAAAATGTGACGACAGGGACACCAAATTTTATATCTTTATGAAGTACTTTGAAACCAGAAAAAAATTGTACTTCCTTTCCTGTTTATTTTCTGTTGGGAATCTCTGATTAATGTACGTCTGATGATTGAAAATTATGAAGCTGTAGTGCGTGGTAGTCCTACTCATATTTTGTATCCAGTTTCCAGTGTTCTTTTCAGGCTATAGGTAAGAATCTTTACTTTCTTTGGTGAAAATTTTTATCTTTCATACTGTGAACAGTTTGCATAGAGTCAAGATGACTAAACGCTTACAATTCACCGATAAAAAAAGGAAACTAGATCATTGTCTATATCAGTGGGTTACCCTGTAGTTTTATAACCTAGAAAAAAATGTGGATGCGCAGCTAAAGAACTCGAGAAGCGGTCACCAAAAAACTCTGGAGTGAAAAAAAGTGGCATGATTGTGTGCATCATGTAGTCACAGTGGTTGTTAAGTATTGCAGTCAAAATGTGACAAACAATAAATTAAAACCCTTGTATGGTGGTGATGAGCATGTCTTCATTACAAAAAAAATGATTGCTTAATACAAAATGATTTCAATCGGAAATTATGGGTCAAATAGGTGTT